GGCGCAATAGGATCTGACTCAGTGGCCGACTGCTGGTCCTGATGAACCTGCTTCTTCGTCGTTGAGCGAGTTGAAGACGAGTGGGCTGCTTGTCCTTCTTGTCATGAACCCAGCGATCCTGCCTTTAAGATCCAATCATCTTGGGCATTTGGATTTGGATGGCTTGGGCACGCAAACAAGTTCCGAGTTCATGAATATAAACATGTTTCAAAACAAACATGTCAAAGCGACTTCAGATCTTGCTAACGTTTTCGGTCGAGGAAACATTGGCCGGCCCAAGCGTAGAGAACGGCTGGTCAAACTGCTTGGACAGGAATTCGTCCACTTGGTCGAGCAAACCATGGCCGGTTGTAAATAGCGCCTGGCCAGGCCGTCTTGGCGCGCTTGCGGCCGTGCCTTTCTTGCTGCCAGCACCGGCGCCTGGCGAGCTTTGGCGCTCGCTGCTGGGGGCTACTCTGCTTGCGGGGCTTCATGTCCTCAGGGCGGCGTGACACATCGAGATCATGGTAGAGTGCATCAGCCTGTCGCCATCTTGGAGTTTGATACGCTTGATGACATCACGTTTGCCTCCAGGCTTCGGCAGGATGACGAGCTGCGTGGTGTACGGAGCCTGGTGTTGACCTTCATGGAGATTGGAGGTGGCAAATCTGCATAGCGCTGCTGGAGGAAGAGCGTCTCTATGTTCTTCAAGTCGAGAGTGCCCTCCCAGCCCACAATCACGTTGAGAAAGCGATGGTTCTTTTTGATGCTGCCGTCGGCGCCCTCCATTTTTGCCGGCAGATCACTTAATTTCACAGCGCCGGGCTCCTTGTGGACAATCGTGGCCTTGTCCAAGGGCACCAGCTTCATGCTATGAGTGTGGTCAAAGGTCATAGTGCCATCCAAGTTTTCCAAGAAGCGAGAAAGCGACTACGGCGCAGAAGTGATCCTTGAAGTTGCTGCGGCAGATAGTTTTACTTGCATGACGGCTGCGACATGTTGCAAATGCGTAACATGCTTTAGAGCATCTCAGCCCCGTTGGGGAGCCAGCGCATCCTTGACGCCGTACGCAGCGTTGCCGTAGTCAACCTCGATCCTATACATCGGTCGCCCATTCAAGCTCCTCCAAACAAAGCTGCTTCCCGCACCCCCTCTTGAAGAACCCACGACACCCATCTTGACAGGTCCTCCAACAACGGTGTGCTGAACATCCCCCTCACAATATCTTCACGAGAACATCCTCAAGCGCTACTTTGTGCGAGCCATGTGTGCAGGTTGATTGGCCACTTCGCGACGACTTGGGCTGTCATGGTTCAACGGTTCCACTCAAACCGTTGAACTGCGTTTGAAACATCGCATCCGTCCGTCCACATTGCTTGGCCAGAAGGGGTAAGCCGAAAGTTGCAGCCGTCCAACATGTCCTGTATATACTGACACCAATGCGGTGTTTGCTGCTCTTCGGATTTCAACTGAAGTACCGTCTCTTCAAGGTTAACCACCGCTTTCAGCTCCCTCAACAATGAAGTTGGTAGCAGCAGGGGAACCTCCTCCTTGCCGGCTGTGACCCGCAATACCCAAACTTACTTCCCCACCGCCACAACTTGAGCATGTCCTTGTGTTTGCGCGGACGAAGGCCAAAGCGGCGGGACAGGGCACCTTCTCAGCGCCGGTCTCGTCGCGACACTCTTTTGCCCAGCGCCCGATCTTTCTGCACCTCGCGCGATGTGGTTCGCAGCTTCAACGCTTCTGCGTGTGCTCGAGCTCCTCGCCCATGACTCAACTTGCCCTTGCCCTTGCCCTTGGAAATATCCACGGCCATCCCACTGGCCCTTGAGATATGTTGCCAGGGCAGGGGCCTCGCACGTAGCCTGCTTCCGAGACCTCACCCTCTTCCAGCAAGTAGTTGCCTTCTGTTGACGCCTTCACCTAGCTCCGACCGCCCTGCCCTTTCCAGCGCGACGCCTCGGGAGTGGTTCCGTAGGTGCGCCGGTGATTTCAAGCAATTCTTTGAACTTACCTGGTGACATAGGTTGGTGGCACGGGCGTCAATGCTTTGGAGTTCTAGGCAACCTTGATGAAACTTACGACTTCCTCACTGCTTTCGGCTTGCTGTCCGAAGAGACCACCAAGTCCGTCAAGGCAAGCACGGAGGTCAACCCGCACCAAAGCGACCTCGACAAGTTCGGCTACGTGCCCATGGAACGCTTTGAGGCCGCCGCGCACCTGCTACAAAAGCGCCTTGTCCTGAGAGCTACGGAGCTTGTCACATGCTTGTTTGCAAGATGCCTTTGGGGTTCCATTGGGCAAGGCCATTCTTCATCACACACCTGTCAAGTGCTTGGCGCAAAGGCTCCTGCGCAGAAGCTCTACCCAAAATCCATGGAGCGCACGTCCTAGGGGTGAGCGGCTGCCCCGGTAGCTCCTCAGCAGGCGGCGCAGGCTCCGCCACAGGTCCAGCTTGTGGCACTTCATCTGGCGGGGCCGCCTGTTGTGTGTAGGGGGCCTGCAGAGTTGAAACATCCGGAGACTGGGCAAGCCCTGCTTCTGGCGTAGCCCCTTCTTTGCCAAGAGCACTGCCCTTGATTGAGTGGACCTGAGCCACATGGATACGAAAATGTACACCCCGTAATCCGGCTTCCGCGACGCCGCCGTACTTTCCCGAAGTCCACGTGAGCGCCTGATCTTCTTGCACGCCCGTCAGCGCAGCTTGCCCAACTCGAGCCTTCAATGGCTGCGGCGATGATGCGCCAAAGGCTCTGGGCATGCAAACAGCGCGAGGGGTCGGCAGCAGCAACAGTCAGCCGGAAGGCAAATTTCCTGGGCATTCCTTTCATGCTGACGCGGCACAGCCGGCCACCAGGCGCCCTGCCCTTCCCTTTGCTTTCTTCCCGCAATTTCTCCTGCGTTTTTCGGTTTCCCTTCATGCCCCTTCCCCTGAATTTCTTTCATTTGCTTGTCTTTCGCTTCGTTCCCTTCATCCCGTGATTTCCTCTCACCTCCCTTCATTTCCCTTCACTGCGATTCATTCCATCCATCCATTTTTATCCGTGTTCCCTGCATTTTCCATGAAGGCCCCAGCCATTTTCCACACAGGTTCCACTGTCCATTTGCCAGCGTCCCATCGATTTCAGGTTCTGCTCTAGGTCGGTCACGGACCCCCGATGGCCGGATTTACGTTGCTGGCGCACAACCAGCCGCGGCAACCGCCAACAACCAACAACAAGCCCAACCGGCAACAACCAACAACAAGCAACAATGTCCAGCAACAACCAACAAACACTAACAACAACCAACAACAGCCAAACAACAACCAACAAGAAGCCAACAAGAACCTACGCGCGCAAACACGCACGCACGCACGCACGCACGCACACACGCACACACACACACACACACACACACACACACACACACACACACACACACACACACACACACACACACACACACACACACACACACACACACACACACACACACACACACACACACACACACACACACACACACACACACACACACACACACACACACACACACACACACACACACACACACACACACACACACACACACACACACACACACACACACACACACACACACACACACACACACACACACACACACACACACACACACACACACACACACACACACACACACACACACACACACACACACACACACACACACACACACACACACACACACACACACACACACACACACACACACACACACACACACACACACACACACACACACACACACACACACACACACACACACACACACACACACACACACACACACACACACACACACACACACACACACACACACACACACACACACACACACACACACACACACGCGGCGCGCGCGGCACGCAAGAGGACTCAAGCGCACGCAAGCGCACGCACGCACACAGGCATGCGCGCACGCATGCGCGCTGGCACTCAGCCTGGGCCATTTGCCACGCAAAGCGTGTCAAAGCCAATCGTTTTGGCCCGTTTTTGGCAGTGAAAACTCATCACGTTTCCTGTGTTTCAAGGCTGCAGCAGGACGCCGGAGAGCGGCTCCCATCAACGTCCCCAAGGCTGCAGGCCCAGCGCCATACCCAAAAAACCATCCCAGCCAGAAGCAGATCATGCAAATGACGCTTATCCCAGACTCATCCTCTGCGTGCCCCTAGTCGGCAAAAGGGCGGCAGCCCCACAGACCTTGACTCTAAACCTTTGCTCCAAAGTCCAACACAGCTGTTCGCCCTTCACCTTGGCCGGCTGCCTAACCAAAGGAATCTCTGCTGACAACTGATCCACTTCTCCATAGATAGCTCGAACAAAAGGTTTAGTTAGGAGTAGCCGCCGCCATCCAGGACAGGCTGGCAGAATGGCCCAATTCGCTCCTCTGAGCCGGTCACCTCTGCCGGCATCTTGTCCACTGCATCCATTGCGAGGTTCCTGAACATGTTGGAGCCGTCTCGTGCCTCCATCAGCGCCTGAACTCCTCTGGCGACTCGCCTGAGAACTTGGGCGGTGGCCTGCTGCTGTGCGTCCCTGAGCCTCTTGACCTCCGCTGCCACTGCGCATTCCTGCGCTCATGGCGGTTTTCTCGTGTCACACCTATGGATTTGCCTTCTGGGCTTCGCCAAACCAAAATGGCTCAGCATCTGAATTTGCTGCACACGGTGGAAGCCACCATGACGGATTTCTCACACATACAGAAGTTGGCATCCTATATTGATGCACACTTGTGGGCGATTGCCATGGAGAAATGAGGCACAGCGCTTCTGTACGGCGCTTGAAAAGCTCAAAGCAAGCCAAGAAGAGCGTCGCGCCGCCGCCAAGAAGAGCGTCGCGCCGCCACCAAAAGCCTGCCGCCTAGGTGGCCCCAGCTACCTGGATCGCCGAAATAAGCTTGATTGAGTTCGCCTCTGCCAGAAAAAGGTGATGTGAAAATGTGTAGTTTCATGGTTGCAAAATATGAAAATGTGGCAAGCGCAGATCGCCCTCGGCCTTCCCAGGTAGCCCCGGGCGATGAAGGGCCCCCCGAAAGCGATCTCCGCCGGCTCCAGGCTTGCGGCTGGCTCGGGGCGCCGCAAGTCCGCCAGCACCACCTGCAAAGGCCCACTGAAAGCCAAACAAGCAACCTCCGCTCGGGGAACGAACCAGCGTCAAAAACAAACATGCAAATTTCAGTAAGTCAGTGTTGTTCTTGTAGGGCAGTGTAGATAGTCAACTACGCTTGTCGCCGGGCAGCCTCCGCGCATAAGAAGCAAAGCTTGTCTCACACAGTATAACCTACGCCCGCACACACACACACACACCTGCAGACCCACCTGTCTCCCCAAATTGCACAGCCCCGCGCAATGGACTTTGGCGTGGCTCTGTGTCGCGGTGGTAGCTACCCTGCGCTGCCTCGCGCAGTCGTCAAGGGCCTGACGGCAGGCCGAACCATCGCCTTGGCCACGCCCTTGCGAGCCAACGCATGAGTGGCCAGCGCACCCTTTTGGCTGGTTCTCGGTCTGCGGCGTTCTCCGGAGGCAGACTGCGCGCGAGCTTCTGTTTGCTTCGCAAAGGCCAAGCGTGAGCTCACACTTGCACAACCTCTGAACAAAGCGCGAGTTTACGGAGGAGGTCCCTGGCAGACATTGAATGGAGGTCTTGCCCTGCCTTGTCTGGTTGTTTGTCTTCTTTTCTCTTCTCGTGTTTCGTTTGCCCCGCTTTCTCGTGGACCAAAAAAGGAACTGTCTAAGCTTGAGCCTGGGAATCTCAACTTGCCCTGGCGCGCTTCTTTCTCTGAAACGATTCCCCGAGTAGTCACTGGCAGCTGTGACGGCTGTAGAAAGAAAAGCCCCTCGCGCGCCGACACTGTTCATGACAGGGAGATGACCTCTTTGGGTAAGCATGGAAAGGTCTCACATCTGATCTAGTATGTCATCACTCATTCATGACGTGAACATGAAAGACTGCAACAGTTTCGCGCGGCAATCCTGCTTTGTGAACAACAAACTGGTCATGAAAGTGTGAAAGATTGAGGCCTGGCGTTGGAAATTGGAACGGGTTGACGACACGCGCCGAACGCTTCCCTTGTGTTCTTGCCACACCCATTCGCATCTGTGCGACGCTGAGAAGTATGGGTGGCTTTGGCAGGCGTGGAGGTGTCGCGCGGCGCACAAGATGTGAGGCCCAGTTGACCTTAGCTGGTTCTCCGCTGGCTGAAGTGAAATTCGTATTTCATTTGACGACGGGCGCTGTATGCTGGGCGACGAGCGTCGCTGAAAGGGTCTAAACAAAAGTTGTTCTTCATGTTGAGTCCCACGACCTCGCCTCGTCAGCGATTGCCCTTTTTGCATTTTTCTCCCCTCCCTTCGCACGGAAACCTTCTTGACTGCGAAAGATCTTCCAGGTTGTCATTGAACGAACGAGCGCCCTGGTGTCTTGCTTAACTTGTCTCAACACGTCGCCTCTAATCCGCATAGACTCTGAGCGGCGCTCCAGCTGCGGCGGACTGCACCTATGCTCGTGTTCGCATCATGTGCCGCTCGGGACCCTGCGGGAGGTGCCGTACATGTGGGCATCAGATCATCCCACGATGGCTTAAGTCTCCGGAGCAAAGTTTTCACCTTGGAAAAGGAACTCGTTGCTGAAGAAACTGACGGGTCGGTAAAGATACAGGTCGGTACCCCTTGGGCGTGTGCCCGCTCCTTCAACATTTCTCGGTTGTTCATTGTCTAGCAGCTCTTGGTGCGCGAGCACATCGCCACACACTCTGTTCTGAGGCTAGGCCTCTATTTTCTGATGTGAGTGCAAATCATCTTTGAGTCCCTCATAGCTGAACCAGCTGACATGTCCATCGCCCAACGGCAAGTTGGCGTTCGCTGGCTTTGTCTCAGCGCTTCTGATTAACCTGCTCCGCGTGGATCGACGCTGGGGGGCTAGAGCGCCAGGCGAAGAAACGGTCATGCGCTTCCCTGGTTCGGAAATGTCTAATCTTGGGATGTTTGCCGGATTCGGGAAGCTGCGGCCCTTCTATCTCTAGAGCTCAATGCTCAGCAGGCAGAAGCCCTACCCCCTGTGGTTGTTTCTCAGACCAGTTGATCTCCCGCAACATTTGGCTCAAGGCCCCTTTTGTGTATATCATTGCATCATCAATGATCGCGTGAAGCAAAAGAACCTTTGCAGGCCGCTTACAGGATTATCTACAAGACAGTCCACCAGGGACAATCCATCCTCCAATCATCCACATTGGCATACCAGTTCCCTTCTGGGATAGGCACCTGGGGCAGTGGGCCTCAATTTGTGGTAGCGGAGCGGGTTTTCCGCAGAGATCCAAGGGAAGATGTCATCCGATGGAGAAGGCTTCATGGAAGCCTATTCCAGTATGGCCAAAAATCCAGGCTATACGGAGGAAACACTAAATTTATCGATGACCGCCAAGCAGCCGCCATCGTACGACGGAAAAGTCAGCTGGTTCAGGTATGAAGAACTCGTGGACGACTGGGTGACCATCACAACGGTGGAAGCACCCAAGAGAGGACCTCTCCTCAAAAGCAGACTCACAGGAGATGCTTACATGTGCAAGGCAGTCCTCCAAAATGACCTTTCGCAAGATCCTGATGAAGGAGTCAACTATTTCAAGAACACGCTGAAGAAGTACTTTTTGAAAGGTGCGACCAACGTGTATCTGTACAGGCTCCTCAGTTTCTTCAACCATAGAAGGCAGAACCAAGAGTTCCTCATTTTTACCTCAAAATTCGAAATCCTTCTTATGAGATTGAAGGCAGCATGGACGGACTTGATGCCCGTTTTCACGGCACAGTCCCCATCATTTCGACAGTCCGTACAGGACGCAGATGCAAGAACAATTGCTCGACATCAGCAAGCAGCCGGTGTTCGAGCACCGCCTCCAGCCCTGCTCAAGTAGGACGATCCGACAGTCCTCAGACAGTATATCCAAGGAATGCAGGACACACAGCGGGACGCATTTCCCTTCGGGGATAATCTCATTGCACAGTTTTTCATTATTCAAAGTGAGCTGTCAGATCAGCAACGAGAGAGACTGACAAGTGCAATGTCATTAAGAAACATCTCACTCGAAAACTACTCCTATGAGATGCTGAAGACGCACTACCATGAACTCTTCATCACGACGGGGACATCAATCCAAGATCCATCCATCCGACCTCAAGGAGGCAACTGAAGCAACACATTCTTCATCATCGAACAAGGTGAATACGAAGGAGAAGAAGGCTTCTGGGTTGAGGATGAAGAAGGACTTGAAGGATTCATGTCAAACAACGATGAAGAGACGTTCTGGGTCCTCGAGGAGAACGATGCGTTCATAGCAAGAAAAGTGTCGGGGCGGAACTTCAAGTTCAAGAAGAGAAAAGGAAAAGGAAAATCAGGAAACAAAAAGGGCAGTCACCAACGAGGTGGCTTCAAACCCTTCAGAAAATGCGGTTCTGGCGGAAAGGCCAATATGGCCAACGAAACTATGATCCCTACGACCAGGCATATTGGGGAAAAGGAAAGAAAGGAACATCAAAATTCCAATATCCCTATGATGGAAACAAAGGTTATCCATCCTATGAGAGTGGCAAAGGAGAGCGGACAGGAGAAAGGAAAATCCAAGACGTTCGCAGCCACCGCAGAGAAGACGGAGGAGCAGCCCGCCATCCAGCAGACCGCACCATCCATAGAGCCTACCTATGCCGGTTGGACAGACCGAGACTGGGATCAATCATGGACATGGAACGAACATGGCTGGTACTCATCCCATGAGACATCCAGCACAGGACAAACGTTAATGGCATTCCATGATGCATATGAGCATCCTGGGAAAAAGGCCATCCACGAGAAGCTGATCCAATCAGATACAGTTTCAGAACACAATCTGTCCGTCACAACAAATCACAGCCTTCTGGCAACAAAGCTGATGGCGCCTGTCATCAACCCTCAGCACAACCCGACCTATGCGATTCTGGACAATGGATGTACCAGATCTATGGGCAGCTGGCATGCAATCCAGCGTTTTACTCAGGCCATCGAACCAATGAAGGACATCATCTCCTATGAGCACATCCCGGCCGAGACCAAGTTCACTTTTGCAAACGGAGAGACCGCCAGGGTAAATTGGACCCTGCATCTTCGATATCACACAACTCCTCCACGCAGTACGAACATCGACATCCCTGAACAAGGAACTGTACCGATCCTTCTCAGCATCAGCCAGATGCGGAACCTCTACATGACCATCGAGCACACACCTCAATGTGACAAGATCACATGCAAAGCCTTTGGCATGAACCGTCAAGCAGTTCCAGTATCCGGTACAGGACATGCACTCGTCGATCTCGCTGGAGTTGCAAGAGTGAAGGCACATGGAGAAATTGCTCACAAGGGCCTCATCAACTATGTCTATGACGATGATAACAGCATCAAGTTTCCCTCCGGGGGTCTCACCAAGAGCGAAACTGTTTGTGCAGCAAAATCATCCGAGACAGAGGAGGACCTAGCAACTCCTAAGATCATTGGGTCTCAAAAGCAGGACCATTGGATCCTTGACAAGAAGAACAAGCAGCTCATCCGTGTGCACATCATGCCCCGAAAGGCGCTGTTCACACCAAACGGAGCCAAGGAATGTCCAATCAATCCTGATCACATTAGCCGAGAACGTACTACGGAAATCATTGATGCATCCGCAGGTGGAGATCCAGACATTCTAGAAGACAATTGGAGACTTACATCCCAGGCAAATAAACCGATGATTAACCTGTGGACAGGTAAGACCATTTTCACCTTCGCGGACAATTCGCTTAAGGAAGAAGAAGCAGGTTCAGGAGCGGCGATCATCGACAAGAGGGGCCGGTCGACTATTGAGCCAGATCCTTTCGCACCATCCTCAGAAGAACCAACATCGCTTCCGCTTGCCCTAGGCAGAATCCACAAGCGATTATCAAATCCCGAAGAGTTGAAGAAACTCCACCTGCAGCATCATCACATGACAACAGATCAATTTCGATTTAGAACCCGAGCACTTCATTTGCCGAAATCAACATTCGATCTATTTGACAAGATCCGAAGTGAGTGTGAAGTTTGCCAAGCGGCAAAACAT